TAGATCTAATTCAACTTCATCCTTGTTACACGCTAATTTAGCTGCAATGTCTGTCTCATTATGATGGGTTATATTTATGTGTGAAGGTATCCATACAAAGGAGATACGAGACCCTATACTCTGTGCAGCAATAATTCATTTATAATTGGGAGTATGAGGTTCTTGCTGTCGATCTTCCAAGAGAAGTTTTCGATTGCTTGAAGAGCAGACTTTGAATCACAGAATATTATTCCTCCTCCAATGTTTTTTAATGTACTGGTTGCTAAGTGTAATGCTGCTAGTTCTGCTTGTGTGGAGGTCAGCCAGTTGTTTAACCTGACACTGACAGTCTTTGTGCAAATATTATTTCTATAAAACCTACATGCCGCTGCAGTCCGTCCAGTAGAGGATTGGACTGAGCCGTCGGTGTAGACACAGTGCTCGTGAGATCTTAAATTCTCGATGGAGGAGGCAATTGTTTCAAGTGTGACAGCTTTGAGAAGAGAAAGATTCTCATTATCTTTCTTGGTGACAGGTGTGTATGATACTTGAATGGTGTTTTTTTTTTTAAAGTCTACGTCAATGCAACCAACATTGCAGGCTTTATTTTAAGACAATTGCACAGGGACTGCAAGGGATGGAGGGGGGGGGGGTGAAATGGCGATAGTTGTGTGAGTGGCACTGGACGTACAACGTCCAATTGACGTACAACACTCCCATACTCCACATGCATCATACGTCAAAGTTGGGCGAGGCTAGCCCTAAGCGTCTGTGTGTGTATTCACCTAGTTGTGCTTGCGGGGGGGGGGGGGGGGGGGGGGTTGAGCTCTGCTCTTTCGGCCCGCCTCTCAAACTGTCAATCAACTGTGTCTACTACAACTACTATTTTTTTCACACCACACACACACACCCACTCCAGGAAGCAGCCCGTGACAGCTGACTAACTCTCAGTTACCTATTTACTGCTAGGTAACAGGGACATAGGGTGAAAGAAACTCTGCCCATCGTTTCTCGCCGGCGCCCGGGACCACAGGATCACGTGTACAGCGTGCTGTCCGCTCGGCCACCGGTGAGTGTGTGTGTGTGTATTATATTATAATATATATATATATATATATATATATATATATATATATATATATATATATATATATATATTTAGCAGTAAACTTAAACTTAAAATCAAGTCCAATAACAAAAGTTTTTAAAACTTGTCTCTAAAAATGAAGTTCAGTGTAACCCTCAGGACCAAGTTTGTCCAGAAGACCTTGTGGGGCCGCGCCTCCTGCACACATGACTTACACACCTGAGCTGCCACCACGATACTTGAACAATCACAGGTGTGGGGAGGAGGTGGAGGAAGAGGGAGGAGGAGGGAGAGAGGAAGAAGGAGGACGGAGGAGAAGGACGGATGAGGAGGAAGAAGGAGGACGGAGGAGAAGGACGGATGAGGAGGAAGAAGGAGGAGGGAGGAGGAAGAAGGAGGAAGTAGGAGGACGAAGAAGGGAGGACGAAGAAGGGAGGAGGAAGAAGGGAGGAGGAAGAAGGGAGGAGGAAGAAGGGAGGAGGAAGAAGGGAGGAGGAAGAAGGAAGGAGGAAGAAGGGAGGAGGAAGAAGGAAGGAGGAAGAAGGAAGGAGGAAGAAGGGAGGAGGAAGAAGGAAGAAGGAAGGAGGAAGAAGGGAGGAAGAAGGAAGGAGGAAGAAGGAAGGAGGAGGAAGAAGGAAGGAGGAAGAAGGGAGGAGGAAGAAGGAAGGAGAAGGAAGAAAGGAGTAGGAAGGAGGATGAGTAAGCAGGAGGATCAAGAGTGAAAACAGAAGCATCAGTACCAACCTATCCGTGACTACGAGGGAGCGTGGTCTAGCTCTGCAAGCCCCGCCTACTCTACCCGTGGTGCACCCGTTGCCATAGTGCAACTGATCTATACCGACCGTCAACTTCCTTGTCGAATCTGGCCTTAAAGTTGTGTATGGCAGCGGCGGCTTCCACCACCACCACTTTTAAAGCATTCCACTTGACCACCTTCACTGGGGCCAAGAATGTCCTGATATATCTTCGACACATTTGCGTTTCCAGGTTCGACCTATGTACTCTTGTCCTACTCTCTCTCTTGCTTTAACGAGGCTGTCCTTGTCCATCTTGTCAAGTCCTCTCAGTATCCAGTATGTTACAATCATGTCCCTTCGTGAACGTGTTTGGCAGCAGGAGGCTGCTTCTGGAAACTTTTCTTGTTAAGACTACTTATAGCCCATTCAATAAAGCTTGGGCCCTCACACACTTGGGGGTTCACGGATCGAGTCTCCTACAGCCCAGATGAATTGCATGTGCCCTCTGTTTCTCCTCTCGTCTAGAGTTGTGAGATCTAATGACCTTAACTTACCTTCAATGTTTATAAACATCTTTATTGACAAAATATAAAATTTAGCTTATTCTGAGTAACTCATCTGGGTGTTATTACAAGGCAGAGGTGCTGCAGGTATTCACTGCCACACAGGAACCAGACAACAGGCCTAAATTATAGATCGAAGCACATACATATTTCATGAGGTTACATTCTTCTACATCAGATATTATACACGTTTCAGTTTACGTATTTGTAAATGAGGCTTCCCATTGTTCACTACCACACAAGGCAGGGATGCACTCACGAGATGTGCAGCTTAAAAAAAATTAAGAATAATATATAAAATTCTCGTTCTTCATTCTTTAGAATGGACAAGCAATTTTAGTACAAGTTGTAAGGATGTCTTCCAATATACCACATTCAATGAAACAGTTAGACAGTTTGATTGTACAACAGGCCAGGAGTCTAAAATCTTGTAAAGTTTCACATTCAATAACGTAGTGTTAAGTGAATGGTTTAATTAATGGTTTGTCACAAAGTTTACAGTCTGAATATGACAGATGGTGTCTCGGCCTCACTAACTGCCCAGATGAGCCAACAACCAAGGCAGATTGTTGACCAGACCACACACTAGAAATTGAAGGGACACGACGTTTCGTCCCTTCGATTTCTAGTGTGTGGTCTGGTCAACATACTTCAGCCACGTTATTGTGACTCATCGCCTGCAACCAAGGCAGATTCGCACAATGACTACTGGCGCAAATGCGCGCAATCACATTGTTTGGTCTCATTACTGGGCTGACCATACAAAGGTCTATTATTACAGCAGCTGTTATAGCTTTTAATGCTGCAGCTTTCTGATCTCTGGCCATTTCATAGTTCTTCTAAATCTGAAGTAATCTCTTTCATTTTGAATGTTTTTAATAACTGCATTAGATGGTTCAAAGTCATAGTCTCTACTTTCCTGCAAGCCTCGTTGACCAATCATTAAAAAAAATGTCATGCTTCCAACCCCAACATGGGACGTGATCCACACGAATTGTATACAATAGTTATTATCATTGTAATAAATGGAATGTGATTTTTGTCAATCAATTTCACACAATAATGGTGATGGATTATTTAAAGACTTCAGGGCACTTTTAGAGTCACAAAATATCACTCCAGCCCCAATTGAGTTGAATGTACTCATAAATACCCAATATCTCATATTGTGGGGTACTTGCCCAATCGTTCAGTCTCCGCATAAAGATATGACCATTTCATTTGCGTTATATACACAAATATTAGGTAGAGCAGGTTGTGCACACGCACAACCTGCTCTACCTGTGCCTGATTGCACAGAACCATCAGTAAAGGCTTAGAATTCAGTTGGTTTAAGATTTACGAAGTGTAAATTGCCTTGAAAGAGCCCTGGTTTACGTGTCTAAACGACGTTCTAAAGTTCCTAGTGACTCACATGCTGCTGATGTTAACTCGTTTGTGTCCTTCTGGAGATGGAATTATATCCACTCCCAAATCCTTCTCTCTCAGACTCCTTCCGGTCTCCATTTTTCCTCTCCCATCTTCATTAATTTGCACTTGTTGGCATTGAATTCTAGCAACCACTCTAGATGATGATGTTGCTGCTCTTGTTGATACACTTGGTCAATGGACTTAAGATACTATGTTGACCAGACCACACACTAGAAGGTGAAGGGACGACGACGTTTCGGTCCGTCCTGGACCATTCTCAAGTGGATTGTGACCTCACTATCTGTGTGGTGGTGGTGATGGCTGCTGTCATCCAGCAGCACACCAGTGATGCTCCCACTAATGTGTGCTCCAGCACATCTTCAACACCCTGTGTGGTGTGCCCAGAGACTACCCTCCCTGCACGGCAAGGTATCCGTGAAGCTGCCCTAAGTCAAGGGCATTTTAAGGCGCGTCTGGGATCCTCTCGGTCGTAGGTTCGAACCCTCATCACGGCCCTTGTGGATTTGTGCATTTTACAAAATTTTTCAGCTGAAATAATACGCTTAGAATTGATTGCTTTAATTATTTTGACATTAAATGTCGTGAATAGTTTTAAATGTATTAGATTATGATTAAGGAACAGGTAATACTGTTTCAGCGTATTCACTTCCTGTAAGGTCCTGCGATTACCTTGCGATGATTTCGGGGCTTAGCATCCCCACGGCCCGGTCACCGACCAGGCCTCCTGTTGCTGGACCGATCAACCAGGTTGTTGGACGCGGCTGCTCGCAGCGTGACGTATGAATCACAGCCTGGTTGATTAGGTATCCTTTGGAGGTGCTTATCCAGTTCTCTCTTGAACACTGTGAGGGGTCGGCCAGTTATGCCCCTTATGTGTAGTGGAAGTGTGTTGAACAGTCTTGGACCTCTGATGTTGATAGTTCTCCTCTCCTGAAGGATAGTTCCAGCACGTCCACTTCCTGTAGGGACCTAGAGGGATAGTTCCAGCACGTCCACTTCCTGTAAGGACCTGGAGGGATAGTTCCAGCAGCTATACTTGCTGTAAAGTCCTGGATGGAAGGTTCCAGCACATCCGGGTTCCGTTAAGTTGTTTCATCGCCCCGTTGTTCCATGAGGTCAATAAGTTTCAGGCAAGACCGTGAGCCGGTGGCGTGGCCTATTGTGGAGTAACCTGTTGTTCCTCCCACGCAGTGTGTCTGGTTGATGGGCTGGGAGAGTGAGGTCTGCTGGCCCGTCCACACGCCCGAGGTGCTGGCTTCTCCACCTCTGCCCACGCCTTGTGCACCTGCCCACGCCTTGTGCACCTGCCCACGCCTTGTGCACCTGCCCACGCCTTGCATCTCTGCCCACGCCCTCCAACCTCCTGCCCACGCCCTCCACAACCTCCTGCCCACGCCCTCCAACCTCCTGCCCACGCCCTCCAACCTCCTGCCCACGCCCTCCACATCTGCCCACGCCCTCCAACCTCCTGCCCACGCCCTCCACAACCTCCTGCCCACGCCCTCCACAACCTCCTGCCCACGCCCTCCACAACCTCGTTATCCATCAGCACCAACTGTGAATTGATCTCATACAACTGCAAATTGCTCAACTCTCTAAACAATGGAAAACTTTAAAATACAACTGAACATATGCATGTAAATGTCCAGCACTTGTTAAGTTTGTCAACACTGCTTCATATAAAAATTATTATATATATATATATATATATATATATATATATATATATATATATATATATATATATATATATATATATATATATATATATATATGGATGCTGCGTGGGCCGTGCTCATGTGTTGTGTGCTGTCTTGTATGTTATGTGTGTGTGTGTGTTTGGGGGGGGAGGGTTGCTGCACGTGTTGTGTGTGTGTGGGGGGGTGGGGGTTGCTGCACATGTTGTGTGTGTGGGGGAGGGGGGGTTGCTGCACATGTTGTGTGTGGGGGAGGGGGGTTGCTGCACGTGTTGTGTGTGGGGGAGGGAGGGTTGCTGCACGTGTTGTGTGTGGGGGAGGGAGGGTTGCTGCACGTGTTGTGTGTGTGTGGGGGGGTGGGGGTTGCTGCACATGTTGTGTGTGGGGGGGGGGGGGGGGTTGCTGCACGTGTTGTGTGTGGGGGGAGGGGGGGGGTTGCTGCACGTGTTGTGTGTGGGGGAGGGGGGGGGGTTGCTGCACGTGTTGTGTGTGTGGGGGAGGGGGGGTTGCTGCACATGTTGTGTGTGGGGGGGAGGGGGGGGTTGCTGCACGTGTTGTGTGTGGGAGGGGGGTTGCTGCACATGTTGTGTGTGGGGGAGGGGGGGTTGCTGCACGTGTTGTGTGTGGGGGAGGGAGGGTTGCTGCACGTGTTGTGTGTGTGTGTGGGGGAGGGGGGGTTGCTGCACGTGTTGTGTGTGGGGGAGGGAGGGTTGCTGCACGTGTTGTGTGTGTGTGGGGGGGTGGGGGTTGCTGCACATGTTGTGTGTGGGGGGGTGGGGGTTGCTGCACATGTTGTGTGTGGGGGGGGGGGGGTTGCTGCACGTGTTGTGTGTGGGGAGGGAGGGTTGCTGCACGTGTTGTGTGTGTGTGGGGGGGTGGGGGTTGCTGCACATGTGTGTGTGGGGGAGGGGGGGTTGCTGCACGTGTTGTGTGTGGGGGAGGGAGGGTTGCTGCACGTGTTGTGTGTGGGGGAGGGAGGGTTGCTGCACGTGTTTGTGTGTGGGGGGGGGAGGGAGGGTTGCTGCACGTGTTGTGTGTGGGGGAGGGAGGGTTGCTGCACGTGTTGTGTGTGGGGGAGGGAGGGGTTGCTGCACGTGTTGTGTGTGTGTGGGGGGGTGGGGGTTGCTGCACGTGTTGTGTGTGGGGGAGGGAGGGTTGCTGCACGTGTTGTGTGTGGGGGAGGGGGTTGCTGCACGTGTTTTGTGTGTGGGGGAGGGAGGGTTGCTGCACGTGTTGTGTGTGTGTGGGGGAGGGGGGGTTGCTGCACATGTGTGTGGGGGAGGGGGGGTTGCTGCACATGTTGTGTGTGGGGGGAGGGGGGTTGCTGCACATGTTGTGTGTGGGGGAGGGGGGGTTGCTGCACGTGTTGTGTGTGGGGGAGGGAGGGTTGCTGCACGTGTTGTGTGTGGGGGAGGGAGGGTTGCTGCACGTGTTGTGTGTGGGGGAGGGAGGGTTGCTGCACGTGTTGTGTGTGTGTGGGGGGGGTGGGGGTTGCTGCACGTGTTGTGTGTGGGGGAGGGAGGGTTGCTGCACGTGTTGTGTGTGGGGGAGGGGGTTGCTGCACGTGTTGTGTGTGGGGGAGGGAGGGTTGCTGCACGTGTTGTGTGTTTGGGGGGGAGGGGGGGTTGCTGCACATGTGTGTGGGGGAGGGGGGTTGCTGCACATGTTGTGTGTGGGGGAGGGGGGGTTGCTGCACATGTTGTGTGTGGGGGAGGGGGGTTGCTGCACGTGTTGTGTGTGGGGGAGGGAGGGTTGCTGCACGTGTTGTGTGTGGGGGAGGGAGGGTTGCTGCACGTGTTGTGTGTGTGTGTGGGGGGGAGGGAGGGTTGCTGCACGTGTTGTGTGTGTGTGGGGGGGTGGGGGTTGCTGCACATGTTGTGTGTGTGTGGGGGAGGGGGGTTGCTGCACGTGTTGTGTGGGGGTAGAGAAGAATTGATTAAAATCCGCCTCTCCACATTCCAGTAGGCCAACTCGTGCCTACTGATTTTCAAGGACTAACACCTGACTTATTCTGGTTTTAAGGTTGATAATTGTTTTCGTCCAGTTCAGTCTATCGTCCACTACTCGTCCATACAGTCCAGCTTCCTCACATCCCTGCTGCTCGCCTCATATTAAAATATCCACCGATTGTCTCTTAGCTCTGTGATTCCTATGTTAAACTGCGTGCAACAGTGACTAACAGTCTGCTTGACCAGGAGCATTGGTTAAAGACAATAACTCAGTCATTCGACAATATGGAGCTAAAACAAAAGGAGAAAAGATTGTTTTGGTTTGAGAAACAATTGTAGCCTCGTCTCACTTGTTGATAATGACTCACACCTCAGATCCCGCCAACTCGTCAACGAGTAATTACAATCCTGCGAATCAATTTGAGGCCAGTTCAGTGTAATGATTGTTGACACTGTGAAGGCCGCCACCCCCTTTGGCCAGCTGGACTGTGTAAACAAACTCTCCCCTCCACCAGGCTAATTTTACGCTCTACGATTTGTTGAGCGTGTCCCCACTCCCCCCTACCTCACCCCCCGCCGCCCCCACTCCCCCCTACTTCAGCCCGCTCCCCCCCCCACTCCCCCCACCACCCCCTCACGTGCAACAAGCCTCCTCTAGCGCACACTTCCTCCTCCCTATTGGGGCGAGGCAGCTATGGGGACGAGGCAGGGTCGCAAAACTGTCAGGCTGTCCCGTTTTCAATTCGTGGGTCCTCGGTCTGGTTAGGTTCGGGCAATTTAATACATCATAATAATACGCAGCAATCACATTAACGTTATATATCAATGAACAAATCCATAGGAGCCGTGGTGAGGGTTCGAACCTATGCGCTGGGTGTTCCCAGACGCGCTCCAGTCAACTGGGCCACGATATGGGCAAAAGAATTGCAACCTGGAGTACTACTGCACCCCCACGAGGGGTCCCCGAGGCTTCCACTGAAGCCTAACTGGGGCTTTCCTCACAATTACCCCGTGGGTGTAATAGTACCCCGTTCCCCCCTTTCCCCCCTCCTCTCTCTCCTCTCTCTCTCTCTCTCTCTCCTCTCCTCTCTCTCTCTCTCTCTCTCTCTCTCTCTCTCGCTCTCTCCTCTCTCTCTCTCTCTCTCTCTCTCTCTCTCTCTCTCTCTCTCCTCTCTCCTCCTCTCTCTCTCTCCTCTCTCTCCTCTCTCTCTCCTCTCTCTTCTCTCTCCTCCCTCATCCCTCTCTCCCTCTCTCTCCTCTCTCCTCTCTCTCGCTCTCTCATCTCCTCCTCTCTCCCTCTCCCTCTCTCTCTCGATCTCCCTCTCATCTCTCTCTCTCTCTCCGCCTCTCTCTCTCCTCTCTCTCTCTCTCTCTCTCTCTCCTCTCGTCTCCTTCTCTCTCTCCCTCTCTCTCTCTCTCTCTCTCTCTCTCTCTCTCTCTCCCTCTCTCCTCTCACTCTCTCTCCTCTCTCCTCTCTCTCTCTCTCTCTCTCTCCTCCCCTCTCTCTCTCTCTCTCTCTCTCTCTCACTATCCTCATCTCCCTCTCTCATTCCTTTCCCATTTCCTCAACTCCCCCGCCCATGAGGGAGTCCCCATTAGCCTATTAAATAGGAAAATGGGTGGAACATGAAGGGCTGGGACGTGGGGTTCAGGTCCTCCCTAACACCACCAAACGCCATCTGATGCTCTTCTGTTCCGCCGGTACCACGTGGGTAGGTCGCGTTGATTACGTCTGGCTAGTAACTGGATGGGTAACCGGATGGTGTCGATTAACCGTAATGTAATTCCCTTCAGCCCTTAGTCTATCCTCTTGAACCCTTAGCCCTTAGTCTATCCTCTTGAACCCTTAGTCTATCCCCCTTCAACCCGCTAACGACTCGTGAGCTTTAAATAAAACCGACACTTAAAGCAAATTCTAATTTTATGAGGCACTATGATAATTTTCCAGTTCTCACTGCAGTGCCACGATGTCACCTGGTAGACCTACCTGTCCTCCTGGAACCTGGCCTCCTGGAACCTGGCCTCCTGCAACCTGGCCTCCTGCAACCTGGCCTCCTGCAACCTGGCCTCCTGCAACCTGGCCTCCTGCAACCTGGCCTCCTGGAACCTGGCCCCCTGGAACCTGGCCCCCTGCAACCTGGCCTCCTGCAACCGGGCCTCCTGCAACCTGGCCTCCTGCAACCTGGCCTCCTGGAACCTGGCCTCCTGCAACCTGGCCTCCTGCAACCTGGCCTCCTGCAACCTGGCCTCCTGCAACCTGGCCTCCTCCTGGCCCCCAACCTGGCCTCCTGCAACCTGGCCTGCAACCGGGCCTCCTGCAACCTGTCCTCCTACAACCTGTCCTCCTCTACAACCTGTCCTCCTACAACCTGTCCTCCTACAACCTGTCCTCCTACAGCCTGTCCTCCTACAGCCTGTCCTCCTACAACCTGTCCTCCTACAACCTGTCCTCCTACAGCCTGTCCTCCTACAGCCTGTCCTCCTACAACCTGTCCTCCTACAACCTGTCCTCCTACAGCCTGTCCTCCTACAACCTGTCCTCCTACAACCTGTCCTCCTACAACCTGTCCTCCTACAACCTGTCCTCCTACAACCTGTCCTCCTACAAAGAACGTCGCTTTTCGCTCGTATGCGTTACATAAGGCCAAAAATTGTCGTACTAGAAAATGGAAGCGGCTGGCGAAAGTGACGTACTGTCCCGTTTTCTGTTTTGGGTCCTCTGGTAGGTTAGGAGAGACCACTTTAAATTGACCGTTTTCTTGACGTTGGCAAACTTTAGGAGGACGGGCTGATAAAACATATGAGGACGAAGAGACAGGTAATTATCAAGAGAAAAGCAGCAAGCCATTACGACTATTCAGAACTTGGAGTTACGATGACCACTTGGACGGTCGGGGGATCGAACGCCGACCTGCGAGAA